GAAATTTGGAGACTTGGAAACGTAATATTGAACCAATTTTGAACTTACCGCAATAATGCTGCCGCAAAGTTAGGGGAAATTGGCTCATTTCGCGAGAAAATCGTATGCCCTTTGAACTGACATATTTGGGGGTCCGAGCACCCCTCCCCCTCAAAATTAATTTGAAGTGATTTCAGCGATTTTTACTTAAAAGTGCTCACAATTTGGTGATTTATGTCGTTTTATTTTCTTCTGTACGATAATTTAAACTGGAGGTATGATTTTTTTGAAAATGGGTTTTTGATCTATTTTCAAAAAAATCATAACTTCAGTTTACTTAAATTATCGGAAAGACAAAAATAAACGGGTAAAATCACCAAATTGTCAGCACTTTTAATTAAAAATTGCAGAAATCACTTCAAATTAATTTTAAGGGGGAGGGGTGCTCGGAACCCCGATATGTCCGTTGTCCTTTGACCTCTGACCTATCATAACTCGGTCAAAAATTAAGATATTGATCTGCGGTTTGCACCAAAATTATTCGTTTTTCATGTGCTTTCCAATGATGTATCGCAAGATAGGGGTTACCATTTTGAAAAAAAGTCGGGGGCTTCCCCCCCCCCCAAGGGACAAAAGTTTTGACCCCCCTTAGAGGATGGTCCTCTTTGAGATAGAAACATTCCCAAAGTTTCGTTTTTCTATCTCTAATAGTTTAGAAGTTAGAGGAGGGGGGGAGCGAGACTTTTGGAACACCCTGTGTAAACGCCAAGCTTCAAAAACAATTTTAATTGAGCAATAGCTCAACTAGTTACAAAGACTCTTGTCAACATTGACAAAGCCTATCTTCTGACTGATAAAAGCCACTAGACCTGCAGGGAAAAAACAATGTATGATCTTCATTACTTTTTTAAGGAGAAAAAAAAGATAAGAAAAAACTCAAGAAAGGAGGACCCACCATTAACTTTTTTGAACATGCCGTACATATTCTCCAAATAGTCATGATCCAAGTACCAGACAGATTTATCCTTTTCATCCTCATCAAATGGAACTGAAAAGAGCATCGAAAACAAAATTTCAGAATGAGTGCTGCAGTTTGGAAAGCTAAATACTGAACGAGCGATATACATGAGTAGATCCATAGATCACAGAGATCAGCAGATCCTCCCGCCAAGCTAAAAATAAAAACAAGTATAACAACTGACCAAAGCCTACGTAAGGTAAGATGCACAGAAATTGCCTTCCAACAACTCTGCAGCAACCACACACACACGGGGCGATATACCGATATGCGTCAGTCGAAGCTATAAAAAACAAAAAATATTCGGAATTGCCGAGTTTTGCTACTTTTTAACAACCCCCCCCCCCTGTAGCAGAAAAAATTACTCAAAGGATCATGCTGAAATTTGGCATGATGATTCTTTAAGATTCAAATGCCAATCCTTTTGGTGTCTGAGGTTTAAAAACGTGATGTCAACAGAGATATAGGACTTTAAGATTATGAAGCAGAGACTAATTATGGCGTTAGGTATCGATGGCATTTTAATGTTTCCCTATCTGTGGCAGAGGAATTACTCAACGGATCATGCTGAAGTTTGGCATGATGATTCTCCAAGATTCACAGAAGAGCCTTTTTGATGTCTGATATTCAAATGTGATATGAATTTTTAAAAACATGAGTATTTTGTCAGTTTTATGCGACTTTCAATGCTTGCACACTAGCGGCAGAAAAACAACAAAGCCGATCCACTGTGTGTTGAAAGTCCAGGCAAAAAAATAAAAGAGCCTGCAAAAATCCCGGGTAGCAATATTTACATTCATTCCTGTGTAATTTTAGATGCTGAATCCGAAAGTCAACTTTGCACCAAAAAATTCGGACCGGAAACTTGCCAAATTTGGCAAAAATGGCCTAAAATTGACCTTTTTTCCAGATTACGGCCTGTAACTTGCCTAAAATTGATCTGACGATAAAATTGGTTACTTTCAAAAATGAAGCTCGTTAAATTTCCAATAAAAGGTCGTACAATTTTTTGCTCAGGACAAATTCAAGCGCGCTGGAAGGCACCGAGCTTTGAAAAATGAGCGAAAATTGCGTTTTTCGCGGTTTTTGCCCGATGTCTCCTTAATTAAACGTCTGACAAGTGATTTCTAAACAAATTAAGTTAAGATAATAAAATTTACACTAAGTGAAATGAATTGATGTAAATAAAAAGGAACCCACCACATTACAGTGTGCGCAATTTTTGCTCATTTTTCAAAGTTTGGAGCCCGCCAGCGCACTTGATTTTACTTTGAGCAAAATAATGTATGAAACTTTTTTATAGGAAAATCGAGCTTTATTTGTGAAAATAACTAATTTTGTCGTCAGATCAATTTTGGGCAAGTTACAGGCCATGATCCGGAAAAAAGGCCCATTTTAGGCCATTTTTGCCAAATTTGGCATCTTTCCGAGCCGAATATTTTGGTGCAAAGTTAAAATTCGGATTCAGCGTCAAAAATTACCGAGGCATCAAAGGAAACATTGCTACCCGGCCTATTTGCCTAGACTATGTGATGTTACAGTAAGTTTAGAGAGAGTGTAGCCTCGGTGACTGTGACTCTTGAATTAATCATCTAAAGAGATACGACGTTTCAAAAACTTCAGGCTCAGTTTTCTGTGGCTTTCTAACATTGGCCTATCTGCAGAAATAAAACTACATACTATTGCAGGATCAAAATGGCATACGATCTGATGGTTCATTGTCTTTGAACTAGTGAGTGCCGTTTTCGTGACAACATTATTGAACTAATTATCAAGTGATTTACGACGTTTCAAGAACATACACTTTCCATCGATTCTCGTGAAACTTCGTTCGAAGTGGTATTTTTCGATGGGAAACTCGAATTTTCTTATCAGACATTCGAAATTCGCAAATCCAAGATCAAAGCAGTCAGATTTTACTTTGCTTTCAAAAGACATTCACGAGCCTTGAGAGGAATTTCTGGGGTTCTATAAAAGTTAGAGACCTCATTTTCTTTTTCAAAAAAAAAAAAAAAAAAGCTCATGATTTAGGCTACAGCTTGTCAGGAGGAATTTTCAATATTCTTTCTTTTTCATTTCCAAAAATTATGAATAAGCTCAGATGATTAAAAAAAATATAAAAAAATAGGAATCTTTATTTTTAACACACTTCCACAAATAGAACAAAAACATCCTCATGACACGTTTTGATAGACATAATGAGCCAAAGAACCTTGAACTTCATTAATCAGGTCATGAGAAAGAAGGTTATTCAAACTCGACAATTTTGCCCCCCTCTGAGATTTTGCCCGGAGTTGGATATGTTGTTCCCTATCACAAGACACGCCTTTTTCCGGCAATAGCAAGTTCACCCAAAGTTTTTTCCGCGCGCCACAGTGTTGCCAAGTTGAAAACAGGCTAATTCCGTAAGTGGCATTGAAATTGAGCTATGAAGTTGCGGTTTTAACAAAAATTCTGTAAAAAACTACGCACTCTTGGGAAATGACCATGTTTTTAATTTCATTTAACTTTAACATGCATTATTGCCAATGTTTCGATTTTCAAATTCGACAAATTTTACAAATCCGCAATTATCCAAAAAGGCTATCTTTTGAAGTATAAACTTACATTTTGCTGTAAAAAACGTGAGCTTACATTTGAATATTTTGACAGGGTTTATTCCTTGGCCAGTTTTATTTCACAACCATCGACTTAATATTTAACATTTTCCAAGAATTGCACTTATGAACCCGCTTGCAATCCATTACTTAGCTAGCACATCTTAAAACTGTTAAACAATAATGCATGTGAGATGTGCTTCCAAACATCACCTTTTCGATAACTTCAAACATTCACATCCAAAATAATTTGGCATGTCGAAATCTTGTTTTTCATTTTTAAAAAAAGACTGGCTTTAAATTTATTTTTATAGTTCGAAAAATATTGACAAGAACATTGTTTGTCAACTAAGCGCATTAAGAAATCGTAAAAATTGCCGCACAGCATGCGATTTCAGATTTCCCGTGTTAAATGCTGGCTTCTGATTGGTTGATAGACACGTTCCATCGTGCATCTTATTTACCAATAAGTGCGTTCCATTGCGTCCCATCTTGCATTTTTTATAATCTGTGGCCGTGGAGACACTCGTCATCGGGCAATTCATGAAAAATCAGCGACGTATTTTCTCTTATGCCTCCAGAGAACGCATTTATGGGTTTAGATAGCAGCCTGCCATGTGAGCCCAAGTAAACCTAACCTATATCATTTTCAAAACATCACGGGTCCCTAACCAAAGACATAAAGACGGAGTGCTCGTATCTAAAAGCACGGGGAAAAAGTGAAGCTAGGTTCGGCGCTGCGCGTTTGTGTGAGTGTGTAAATGAGCGCGGGAATCCATGGCGGCAAACGGAAATTTGATTTGAACTTGTCCTCTTGATTTTTCCTTATTTCTTCTTCGAAACGTGTTTTAAATGCTTAAAACGATTATATTAAGAAAGTTCGGTCTGCGTCCTAATATATTACACCTACTTTTGCTCGGTAACAGGCAGTAATCTCAGATAAAGTTAGTTTTTCTTCTGCTTATGGTGGTTCTGCAGGTTCAAACAGGCCGTTACAGTTCTAGATCTACGTTACTCCCAAATGAAATCAGTCGGTCGACGACGGACCGAAACTAACCTAAAGTTAATAAAATATGAGTGTGTACCTGAATTTGGGCAAAAATCAACCTAAAATACTTTGTTTCCGCAATTTTATTTATTAGTTCCCGCCCTACATTTGAATTCAAACTTGTCCCGATTTCGCCGCCAATCCTCTAGCCAATAGTAGAGGTGATTGAAAAGAAGCTCTAGAAGCTTCATTTTTTGCTTTTAGTGCTCCGTCTTTATGTCTTTGTCCCTAACACTGGTCAGCTTTTCTAGAGGTGTAGTTTGTTGCTATCACTACAAACATCCACACAACTACAAAACACATCAAAATAAACACATATCACACGCCCAAGCCCTAACAGTTTACAATTTTATAACCATAGATGAATCTCTCAGGGAATCTCACGTGCTCCTCATAGCTGGGGATCAGAGTGGGCTTCCGCTAACGTCCTGGCAAAACTCCGGTGGGCGAGTGGTGGCTGTGCACCCGAGCAGGCAGGGGGATCTGCAGAAGGACTAACCTAGTCTCGATAGGCCATGGGTTGCAGTATTGGCCTCATGACTAAGAGGTCTCGGGTTGAATTCCAGATTGGATGACCTGAGTTTGATGGTCTCGGGCATGGATCACCTGGGACTAAGTGTAGGAGGTGGCAAAATACATGCAGGATTGTCCCAGGGGGTGGGAGGGATTAAAAATCCATGAAAACAAATTATAAAATGATAAATCACAGGGGTTAAACCATAAAGTTGAAAAACGAAAAATCATACTTGCTCTTACTACATTTGCCCTAGTTCTTTTACCTCAGGCAAATGTATTGGAGACACTTTCACACTAAGAGCAGTATAGCCAGGCACGAGAAGGTGGTATTGCATATCTTACTTAATCGTTTGAACTACCGAAGTAGCAATTACCTGCGAAACTGTTAGAAACGTCCAACTCTCCTTTCGGTTTCCAAGATCCTAGCAGTATACCTACGACTCTACTGTGGCTTCCAATTTTTCCCATGCGATTGAAATGATCTACAGCACTTAAAAGCACGAGTGGATGGACAATAACTTTAGTAGGAATAATCTCGGCCGACGGCATGATGAAAACTACTTGAAATTCGCACAAAGAAGAACGAACGGTCCAATATAACTGGGCGAGGATTAAATAAACAACAGAGAATTTAAAGTGAGGTTAGGAGGATGATAACTCAAAATCGAGTCGAACTATAGAGTCACATAGAGTAGAGTAACTATGGAACGCCGTTAGTGTCAAAACCCTTTTCTTGCGCGCGCGGAATTTTTTCTGGCGCGCGGAAAGAAAAAACCCGTTTTCGATGAAAATCTCTGAATTTCCGGATTCCGCGCCGGTTTTC